TGCATGACGTTATTTTGCATCATAAAATTGACGACCGATTGCAAGTCTGCCAACTTATTTGCCATCTCTTTCACCTCTTCGTCCTTCCGCAGGCATCTATCCTTTCATACCTAGAGGTCGTCCTCATTGTAGTATCCGCTTCGATCTAGTTTCTTTGGCACGTCACCATCCTAGCCGACGTCTTTCTTGCCATGATTTTGGTTCTGAGTCTCCTCATTGCGACCATCTTCCTCCACGTTTGGGTCAACGTGTTTACCATTCCTAGTAGGGATTTCGTCCCCAACCTTATCCTTCTGTCTGTCATTGGCCATCTATTCTCTTTTCTTTCCCACAGACGGCGCCAAACTGTGTGAGTGAATTTCTGACCACACTACCAAACTCAGTATTCAGCTGGAGAGCACTGGCAGACTAGATGACACCTGACTGACCTGCAACAGAAAGAGAAGATTCCGGCAGTGGTTTGTCCACCCGGGGGCACTCCGACGATCAAGTCAGTATATCTCTCAAAGATAATCAATAGTGCTAAACTCACTGTTCAGAATATAAATTGCGTACCTTAGACCCACAGAGGTGGGGGTAGCGTCCTTCTTTATAGCCACCACTTACCTAACCTCAATAGAATCCTTGCTTCAATGAACTTTGGATTACTGCTAATCTGGACTCCCAGTAGGATTGGGATAACTCTCTGAGAGTCTTATCTTTATTCAAACTGAAGTCTTCCCCATTCTAGGACTCTTTCCTTATCCGCTTATCTCGGATTCCGATATCTTCGGAGATACCTCGGCCTAGTCGAGATAACCTCGGCATCACGACCAGGACACGTGGCACTTTGGCTGACACGTCGGCATTCACCTTGGCCACGTGTTGGTCCTCAAAAAATATATCCCCACAAGACTCATTCAAATTCTGTTAGTTAATTTTTTTATATTTTTTTTCAATTTTATTTTTTTGCGTTCAAGATCGAGGTCATTAACATATTAATAAACAAATCCAAATATTAAAGCTTAGCTCGTTAACTCAGCTCGTTTAACATCTATTATTTATATATAAATAATGTAAAAATATGTATAAAAAATAAAATAAATATGTTGTTTATATATATTTAAAAAATGTAAATGTAATAATAGTTAACTATAGATAATACATTTAATAGTAATGGCTGTAGATATTATTATTTTAGTAAAATATTAATTTTCTTATTATATTTCTATATATTGTATATATAATAATATAATTAAAGTTCAATTGTAATTTTAGTTTCATACAGCAAATGTGAATTTAATATTTTTTTTGGCCCATTAAGGCTTATGAAATAGGTTCAAATTCGAATCAAGTTTAAGCCAACTCGGCTCAAACTTAGTTCGTTAAATTTTTATTGAGTTTAAATTCGTTAAATCTTAATAAATAAGTCTAAACATACTAAAACTCAATTTGGCTTGACTTATTTGCAACCCTACCTCAGAGTGGTTTGGAAACAAATTTGAGCTCGGCTTGATAAGGATTCGTTCAAACTCCGTTCATTAATTTTTTTTTCATATTCGAGCTCAACTTCATTAAAATCTTAATAAATAAAACCCAAATATACTAAAAATCGACTTGTTAGCTCGCCTCGCTTAACATTTATTATTTATAAATAAATAATGTAAAAATATGCATAAAAAATAAAATAAATGTTATTTATATATTTTAAAAATATAAATATAATAATAGTTAACTATAAATAATACATTTATATAATAATGATAGTAAATATTATTATTTTAATAAAATATTGATTTTTTCTTTAGTATATCTAATATAATAAAGCAGGACGATTTTTGAATTTGTCCTACACACATTTGTCCTACTAGGACATTTGGACGACTCAGATCTATTCAAATTATAAAACAACAATTGAGATTAGGATGGTCACGGGTCGGGTGCGGCCACGGAACCTCTAATCCGCCATCCGTCAGCCGATTGGCGGATTTGAGAAAATCCATCCGCATCCGTCCGCCGATCCGGCGGATGCGGATTGAGTGGATTGGCGGATAGATGCGAATCGGTTTGGCGGTTTAAAATTTTTCGCTAGACTAAGAACCATCATCATCATCTTTTGATCTAAGTCTTCCAAACAGAATAGTAAACAAAGAATCTAATATTTCCCCATCAAAAGTTAAAAGCAACTATGGTTACACATTATCAGAAATATGAAATTGGACGCGTTCACAATTTACCTCTGTTTATTTACTGACTCTGTGATCACACCCAGCTTTTGTGTGGAGGAAAGGTAAGGGAATCACAAAAGGCTAGAGGTGATCAGCAAGCAGAGGGATGCTAATTGAAGGCAGTGGGCGGTGGTGTGGTCACTGGGAAATAGTAATGGCTGCCAAGATAATGCTATAAATTACAGGGAAAGCTTCAGTAAAATGCATGGAAGAAGGACCCAAAAAGTTTAAAAAAATTCAATTCTTGGGCCCCCACACAAAGGCTAATTTCACAAATCAAGTAAAACTGCATTCAATAACTGAAGGAGATTTTTCATCATGAATGGCCTTTCCAAAATAATAAATAAATAAATACTACCATTCAGCTACAAGAAGCAAGAACCCTTTCAGGTGAACAAACTAATACTTACTTATAGACTACCAAACCAATCATAGGGCTTTCAACAAAAAACAAAAAAAAAAATCTTTTGTTCAGTATATACACAACAAATCTATATGCATATGAAACACAAACTAGTTTGCCATTCAAAGCAAACAGCCCTCTAATTTGTGACAAGGAGGCTGTTGAGGGTCCTGTTTTGTATGTTTTCATCTCTTGGTGGCTGTCTCTTTAACAAAAACAAACAAACACTATGGTTGATCAATCTGCCAGTGTGTGCTGTGTGTGCTAATTTGCTAAGACAAACAAATAGTGTGTGCATTGCACATAAGTGGGCACAACCTGCTCAGTGTGTGTGCTAAATAAACAAACAAATAATGTGTGGCAAGCCTTTAAAAGGATTTTTTGTACTTAAGAGCCTAAGTCCAAGAGTCATGGAACAACACAGTGTGTGGCAGGCTCTAACCTCAAGAGTCATGGAACATGGAACAAACCTGCTCATATACAAAAACAACCTACTCAAATTTAGACAAACAACTTGGACAGTGGACGCAACAACGCAACACAAATTTTTAACATACAATCATCCAAAATAAAGTATTAAAAATCATCCAAAATAAAATATTACAATCATCGAAAAAATTTAAAATGTCTTAATAGTTATAACAATCATCCAAAAATATTACTGGTCACTTAATTTGTTACTTAAGACTATCTTACACATATGTATATCTTCAATAGGCTTCAGATTCATTTAGACTTCAGATTCATTCATTCTCACTGACCAATTCTCTAAAGAATTTTAGTGTTAAAAAACAAATTCAACAATGCTTATCAAGCAATCAATCTCAACACCACTTAATATGAGCTTCTTCACACTGTTTAGAACTCTAAGTAATGAATAATCAAGCTAAAGCAAAACTATAATTATATTAAAAACCATAAATAAAAACAGATTTGTCATTTCCATTTTTCATTCACCAAATTGCC